CTCTGAAAAGAGGGCTCTGCATACCCTTTTAGGTCTTAACATGCTCTCTGTAAAGAGGGTTCCTTTGTCTCTCTGAAAAGAGGGCTCTGCATACCCTTTTAGGTCTTAACATGCTCTCTGTAAAGAGGGTTCCTTTGTCGCTCTGAAAAGAGTGCTCTTAAACCTTGATCCAAAATTATATCCATTCATATAGCATCCACTTCTTATATTATAAATTCCCAATTTCGCCTCATTACCATATCAACCTATATCCTGTCAGGCCCCGGTCGCCACACCAAATGATGCGAGACGTCAACACACACACAGTTATACAGTCCACTGAGTCAAGTTGAAGAACGTCTGCAACAGATACGACGTATATCTTTGGAGCGATTTTAGACTTAATTCTACATACTTATAAAAGTACCGCAGCTTGCAATAAATTTGGTAGAATTATGAGACGTGGGGATCGGGGAAGGGTGACTTTACTCCTATTCACAGTACTAGCACAGGCGCACGGAGCCCTGCATTCTGCAATGACATGCAGGCAATGAACGTTGGAGTCGAGCCGTGACGCTCGAATCAATGGGCGACCAGCCGGAGATGCGCTCAGGTTTTGCTCTTCACCCTGGAAGGAGATGGACGGTGCAATGGTGGTCCGTCATCGATTACGACCAGTCCGGATCTACATATGCTGGGTGCATCAGCTCAGGCGTCGGGCGTGGCAATGAAGCGCCACCTTTCAACGGTAACATCGTCTAATTCAATCATCTCTCAACTTCTGTCAGTTTCGTCCATGTTAACTGACATCCAGTCAGGTGTTCAAAGAGCAGTGGACAGTATCAACGGACAGGTGGTAACTGGTAAACCTTTCGCGAGTCGCGATGGAGGCGCGACATGGGTGACATATCGTGCATATCTTGCGATGGAGACGTAAGTGACGGGATACCGTGCAGTGTTGCCAATCGGGTCTAGCGAGACCTGGTGGAAACGTGAAGGCACAAGGTAAACGGTCGTCAATCTTTACAGCGTTGGTAACGATATATAGGTTAATTGGTGTGATAGTGATTAGATATTAGATAGACTTTTTAGCGAGTTCTACGAGCTGTTTTAGGAATATCCGTAGCTGGAATGAATGACGTGTTATCTACGAAAGCGTAACATGACTGGTGGTGGTAGTTGATCGGCGAACTAATCTGTTCTCCCTATGAATTAAGTGTGGAAAACTTCGTGGCCGGCCGTCCTCACATCGCCACTCCGAGCAGCGGGGCCGCCCGGACTCGGAGCGCGCGGCCAAGGTTGCGTCGGCCTGACGGCAACGCCGGAGGCATAGACACGGCACGACGGAGCTGCACCTCTGGACCAGTCGACCACAGAAGACAGCGCGAACCAAGGCCAAGAGAACACGGCGGCCGGACGAGGGTGCCCGAGGCAGGAATTCGCCGCCCGGCCCGAGCGGTGGGGCGCGTGACGTCACGAGGCGCGCCCGGGGTGGGAACTGCGTCGGGGCTGGGCTGCTAAGGGCCTGAGGCTACCCGGCCCCTGGTCCGCTCGTCGACGACAAGATGGCGGTGCCGTGTAGCTCCTCCTCCCGACGGAGGGCTGGGGAGAAGGCGAGGTTGGCCGTGACCGAGTGATATAAAAAGCGTGTGTTCGGGAGTTCGGGGCTACACTTCCTTTCACTTGTGAGCTATTCTCCTGAGAGCTCTCGCTCATTCGTGGTGCTGACGCCGCTCGCGGTTGACGTCTCGACACTTCTCTCACAATGTAAGTACCTGGGGCCTATCTTCAACCCAGTTGGAGGTCTCTGACTGAATTCTTGCACTGCCCTAGTCGCGCCCCTGGCTAGCTGGCCGGTGGAGTGAGAGGGTTTGAGCCTGACTTCGGATCAAGTCTCGGCTGTGGTCGGAGACATGTCTCAGGCACAGACACGCACATATACACTCACTGGCGTAGGAAACAACACTTTAGGATTTGGCTGCGGTACTGTGACTAGAATTAAGAGCGACAGGTTGGTTTACCTGTCACTGTGAGTCGTGACTGAGACACGGTCCTTGGGACTTGACTCATTCCATTTCGGCTCTTCCGGTTGACTTATTTGGCTACTATATGAGTCAGTCCCACCCCTTTGGCAATATCGAATCGGCGTTATGATTTGGCTGAGTCATTGTTTCGGTTTTTGTTTCGGCACTTTGGCTATATTTACTTTAGCAGTGCACGGTTACCGTGACATTGCTCGTTTTCTGGCTCTTTTTGTTTGAATTGTTCGCTTTTATTTATTTCGGCCTTTTCAATTACAATACATATTTAATATGTATACCTTCTACGTTCTTTCTCGAGGTTGGAAATGATTGTGGGAACGCTGGCAATATGATGATTCGGACACGAACGGGTTTGTGGGACACATGGTTTTTGGTCGATCAGTAAATACCCCTAGACAACGGCTAAAGGATTGTTGAGTGTTAAGACGATACCCCTAGACAACGATTGAGTAGGATTGTGCAGATGACACAGATTAGAATACCCCTAGACACACGAGGAATATTAGTAGAAGCTACCACAACAGCCAGTAGGCGGGCCTGAATCCTTCCACACACCCATCCTTGACCCACTCAACATCCTCATCCTTCTCCCAGTCATCTTTATCCTTATCCCCATCCCAAACACTACTTATAAATTCACAAATCAACAATTAATTAATTCATTTAGTTTTGATCATCTCAGCCCTCAGGTAAGGCCAAGGCAAGCATTGTTTTAGTAAGTTCCGGAAAATCTCATATAACAAACATACCTCATTGGGCTGAAGGTCATCGCTGATCTCTTCCTCGACTTTTGATATAACTTCCATGGGATCTCCATATTCCTTGAACTCCAGTCTTTTACAAAGCACTGATGCGTTTCTCGCCTGGTTGAAAGCTGCTTGTGTAGCAGAGACACGCCAGTTTTGAAACACTCGAGCCACAAAAGTCGCCATCGTTTCGCACCGGTGCCAACACGAGCTCCGCCTACACGACCCCCACGTGCACCGCCCGCTCTCGAACTGAGCGGCCCCCTCGCGGTCACTCGCGGAGTCGGCTCCCGAGCCCCGAGTGCTGTTCACGGGCACCTGCGGTAGCTGCGGTAGCTGCGGCTCGGCGGTCAGCCGGGTAATGACGTCACAGAAAGTGGGGATGGGGCGGGTGGTGTGACGTCATACGGCTGCGGCCGGCTGCGGTCGCCTGCGTCTCCTGCGGTCGAAACGATCCGACCGCAGCGGCCGCAGGAACCATTTGTCCAGGGGGCGTCGAAGTCTAGTAGGAAAATCTGGCAATCCCCGGCGTGACGTAACGTCGGGGATGACCGACGGCACCTTGCACTGAAAGATACGGCAGACCGGCTATTTTTGAAAAATGATTAAAAATACTTGGGTGCTGTTATGACACATTAAACACTTATCAGCATGTTCCTCTTCATGTGATAAAGCCATATCCGTGGTCGAAAATAGCCGAGCCCCTCCCAATTTCCAAACATCGACCTTATAAGCAAAGGATGTAAGCGTAATCCTTAAGGGCGACTTTCCCTTACATATCCGTACATATGCGTCCTTATGGAAATCGGTTGTGTGGCGATAAGCGACGCGCGCGACATCTGTGGGGCGACTGTGGCGACACCTGGTGGCTGCTTTTCTGCTGTATCTAGGTATTAGGGTTTTGCCAGATATGGTTCCTACTGCTACACCACTATGTTGACCCAATACTAGAAAGTTATTTTGCCCGTAAATGGCAAGAAAATTAAAAGTATATTTATAAAATTGCTTATTAATGATAACGAGATAATAATGAAGAAGTTTTGATTGATAAATTATTTAAATATCCAACCGTGAAACTATATTCTGGTAGGTTTAGTAGAAATCAGTCCGTGCAACCTTGTATTTAGGGCCTTGCCATGGCCTTGCATTTGTCCAGGGAGACACCGGTTGGTCACGTGACTCGGAAACAAAAATCAGCTGATAGAGTGGCGGAATCGCCGTAATCAAACACGAATAATTCCGGACGATAGAGCGGCAGTATAGGGGTTTTCTTTACAACAGGTAAACATTGCAATGTTTTATCATTCTATGACCAAGAAACGTTCATAAATCATATATTTCTTCGATGATTACTGCCGCAACCGACGCGCATATATTGTAGCCAGCGCATAAAGCTGTGCTTTGCGATATTATATGTAATGAAACGGCCAATACTTATAATTTGTAACAAAGCTCGAAAAAAGATGGCATTCTATCTTGCTTCAACCTTCTACTTACGCTTTTATAATTACGACAGCGACACCATTATGCAACTCCATGGCGTGTCCGACTCCGGCCGCACTCTGCCGAGTGTGCCGAGATCAGAGGCGGATCATCCGCGGCAAGTCCAGCTGCACTGCCCGGTACCTGGGAGGGCGACGCCTAGCGCCGCTCTGGCCGCTCGCTTCCGCGCACAACTAAGCTACCTGGCTAGGCCTGTGGGAGGGGAGGGAGAAAACCAACAACAGTCTGATATGAGCCAATGGAGTCTGTGAGCCGCGCCAATCAGCGCCCTTCCGCGCGCAGACGGGAGCTAGAGCTTTTCATCTCCTTTCCTGTTTTCGCTGGTCCGCCAGTCACCAGCATCGTTCCGTGCTCTCCATCTTGGCCGATTCGGCCGTGTTGTCCTGTGTGCGTCAGCAACAACAGTGAGAGAGAGGGGGGAGAGGGAGAGAGGGAGAGAGAGAGAGAGAGAGCGAGAGAGAGCGATAGAGAGAGAGAGAGAGAGAGAGAGAGAGAGAGAGAGAGAGAGAGAGAGAGAGAGAGAGAGAGAGAGAGTCTCGGATCTCGCCAGGCAGCCACATGGGTATGTATTGTTTATTTATTTTCCAGTGATCGCAAGCGTTTTTGTTTGGAACCGGGTGTACTCAGCATTTGACGCATTTCTGTGATCTGTATGATAAAACTGAAAAAAATAGTGAAATATATTCACTTTAATTCACCTGTCGCTTTTGATTCATGGTACGGCTGCTCAATTTTGCCACAACATACATACACAGCCGATCTCGGCATGTTTCTGTTCCAGAACAGCAGCTGCAGTGGACACCAAAAATGCATTCATGTTCTGACAACTTACTCCAAAGATACAAATATTTCACGACGAACTGCTAAGTTCCAGAGAAAGTATTTTCTCGCTCACAGATGCTCAACAAGAAGCGCGCGATTGATTGCAACTAGCACGCTCACGATTTCTAATATAGCGCTGGCCCAAACCTGCCCCTTACATCCAAATATAATATCTTAATTCCAGCCTCTGTCCTATTTATTATTTATTAGCGCACCGAGAGTGAATGATACCACGGCATAGCAGTCATATTACAGAGCACAAATTGCGAGACGACGTTCGAGACCCGTATCGGCGTATTCTTTACAGATCCGGGTGTCTCGCTTTCACTCTCAATCAACCCTGGCACACCATCAACCGAGCCACGTCGGCTCCGACCATCTTGATCCCCGCACTGAAATCTGATGGCCGGCCCGTCATTTCATCCTATCCGTCGGCGCGCACTACACCCGAGCTCAGCCTAAAGTGCACTGTGCGGCCTTCTTCGGATGACACCTCTGAGCATGGCGCTTGCCTTGCACCTGGATGCTTAGAGCCTCTTGTTCGTGCACGGCCGTTAGCATTTCAGGAGTCGGATGGTCTCGGCGGTGGCGACGCTGGCCACCGTGCAGCCGTCAGAAGACACCGTCAGCTCAAGCGCCCGCGACCAGTGACCTGTAAAGCAGCGAGTCGCGGCATGTCAAGACGACCGTCACGTTTCAGTCACGAAGGCCGTTATAGAAGTCACGGCGGCCGTCATATGCCAGCCGTGGCGACCATTACATAGCAGTCACGGTGACCGTCACAGGTCACGACGGTCGTCAAATACCTCTACGAGCCACGGCGACCACGACTCATAGCTCATAACGTTTCCTGACGCACACTCAGCTATAATAACAGTATATAAGCCTGTACACACATTTCTCACTCGAGAAATCGAAAACCCGAACCTGAGACCCATCATACGTCACGACACTAAGTTGCAGCGGCACCTGCATTAGCAGACATCCCATCCCGGCAACACAAAAAGTTCCCCCGAGCCACCCACCTAAGGACGCGGCGACGGGTCACAGAATTGCCATCACGTCGCTGATCTAGTGACAAAAAGGGACACAGCTGACCTGTGGACGCGTTGGTTCACACAATTAGGTACTGACCTGGAGATGATGTGATAGTTTCTGGTCAATGTCGATACGCGCGCCGCGTGGCTGGCCATCACACTCTGCCACCTCCGGATGACGTCCTACAGCTGGATCGACCCACTGTCTCCAGAACCACCGCCAGAAACAAGCCTGGTGGAGGATGATATGATCAAAACTCAAAAACCACAAAGCACACAATGAAGACGACAAAAGCGGCGGCAGGCACATAATGACGATTGACGACCTATAACTAAATCAGTTTATTCAACGTCAAAAAAGGCTGCAAATGTCTATATTTTACTAGTCAAACGCCCGTGATAGGCTGATGTGCCTAACTAGATGTAGTTTGACTTTCCGAATGTGGCCTAACCCTCGCCCGTATGGGGGGGGGGGGTCGAACGGACCCCTACTCGGTTTTTCGCGGATAACTCATAACTCGCATAAAAAAGACGCCGATTGCGACGAAACTTTCAGTACCCTCGAGTTGATCAATTTTACACATGTCCTTGACATTTTATGAACCTGACCCAAATGAACTTTGACCTGTGACCTATTAAGCCCAGCTGCCGAGAGCCATGGCAGCTAGTTGGGGAAGCTTCAGTCCAGATAGCATATGCAAGTAGTAGCCATTCAGCAAGTCTGGTGGGAGGCACTTTCAGCAACTGTTCAGGCGTTAATTGGATGGAGAGCCTGGGGTGTGTGCGCACCAAAAAGCAGCAACTGTACACTCAGAACATTGGCAAAACCTGGGCAAAGCGAATGAGAGAGGGAGTCAGGAACCAGGCGTGCAGGGGTAGACAGCTGAAACAGGCGAGGAGAGCAGTGGAGACCTGGAGACATTATGAGGAAACATTGGTCTGGGCAGACACTCAGGTTGAGGTGAGTTGTCCAGACTGAGTCATCCAGACTCCAGTGGAGAGGCCACTCAGCCCCACGACACTCACCACACCCAGCTATGAGCATACTCCTGGGCTCAATCTTATAAACACCATGGAATGGATATGGCAGCACTGACTGAAATTCAGCTGAAGAAAACGGCTATCAAATGCAAAATTGTTTTCACGCATTTCAGTCCATTGTATGTTGACGATCCAAATAATCATTTTGTTGACTCGGATAACCCTTTGTCAGCACTGACATCACCATAAATGTTACCAAATGCCATGAATAGAATAGTAAGACATTTTATAAGATTGGACCATGGGGGAACCTCCAGGCTTCCCCCATGGGATAGTTGTCTGTCCAACCCTTAGCAGGGTGGATGCTTGGGAGAGGTGGACAAAGCCCGCGGAGGGCATGTATTTCATTATCGCTACACACATTGCAAGACTTTTTTAATGATATAATAACTCAAACTTATCCATGTAACTTGAACTTGTCAATTACAGGACTTTGTGGGCTTTTGTTTATTAATTCTCAGAGCGTCATCTTTTCTGGTGAGTTACTCGCAACGCACATTGCTGCAAGCTCCAAAAGCACCTCTCGAAATGGCCAACCAAAGCAGAGTCTCGACCTGAAGCAGGATTGAGACGCAGAAGAGAAGGAGAGGATCAGGATCATGGAAACAAGAGAGCAGAGGACCAAAATGAATCTGAGTGAGGGGTTTATATAGCCTTGACTTCGGGTAGACTACATACTTCGTAGGATTGGTACCTACCTAATAATTCCGATGGCAAATCAATATAAAACTATTTTGATTTGCATCTAACTAACCACAGAAAAGAAACTTGACACAAATCCACCCCACCGACCCAGCACAGATAAACTAACAATAAAAGTACATTTCAAAATCTGTTTCCTGTTCCGTGGCCTATCAAATACAAATCCAACAAGAAAATTCATTCAATTTGAAAGTGTTTATAGCCCTGAGCGCCTTGAGTTGAATCCAAACCCATGCTGAATAGCTTGAAACTTAAAAGTGTTCTCAATCAGTAAAAGAAACGCCGTTAAACCAATCAGATACAAAAGCTGGCGTTTGCTAGCGATAGCAGAACAGAACACTGTGCGCAACTGCGGGTGATAATTATGGTCGGCAGTTTTCAATACCACGTTTCGTAAAGTTCCCGCGTTTATTTTGTTTAAAAACCTATACTAACAGATATAAAATTTAATTTTGTTTACCATTATGCTTTAAATAGACCCCACATCGGTCTTGTTTTCTATTAATTTGCCATTAACTCTCACCGTGTCACCCTAGGCAGCAAGAAAGCCAACGCATACCAGACCCAAAAAATATATCTTTTAACTCTCAAACTGTAATAAATCATACATATTTAGAAAGAAAAATGAATTTTCATTTAAATAAAGGGACTTTGCGAGCCCTTCTTAGACTAGTTCGCTATCTAGCTATGTTTTCGTCCAGGACTGTTTTGTATTCAAAATTCAAAGTTTTAGAATTAGACGCAAATCTTTTAAAGTTCCCGCGTTTCTTACGTTTTGACATTTTAATATGTTATAACGTAAGAGATTCTGTTAATTTTAGTGGAATTTTTAGACCCCACATCGATCTAGTTTTTGAGAAACATTGCATATAGTGAAACAGGGTGACCATGGACAGCAATGGTGGTTATGTATTGAACATCATTTAAACACAATTTCCAACGTTTAAAAGGCAACAAAAGGCACAGAATCTGATAGATAATTCAATTTCGATATTTGTTGACCATGTTGTAAGCCCCACATCACTGAAATTACTCGACAATTCATGGTAGAGCATTGGCAGGTCCGGTAGTCTGAACAGCTCAGAACCATGATAATTTCGAAATTCAACAAAAGAGAGTTGGTCTTTGATATTACTTTTTGTCTTTCAATTTTCAATTTTGATTGTAAAAAATAAATTTTGTCTACGAACAATCATTGCAACTTTAGATATATAATTTTTGAAATGGCGGAGATAGCCAACAATTTATTTTCGTTAATGCTTCACAGATTCATACATGGCGTGCTCTCCAATCATAAATCAAAAATATATATACCAATAATAAAACTGATTGAAATTTATGGCTTAGTTCTCTTTTTTTGACTTAAAGGGTCAGCTGAAAATAGTGGTCAAAATACCTTAGTGTTGTAATTTCGAACCGGTTTTACCTAGTTCTCTATATACCGTGCATTTGTCATGCAAAGTGGCGCGGCAGTTGCGCATTCGTGTAACTTGGGCGGAAAATTGACACGGCCGCCTCAGACGAACGCGTGATGACGTACGCACAAGTGGGCGGGACTTACAGCCTGCGATCTACCGCAGCTACCGCAGTTACCGCAGGTGTCCGTGAACAGCACTCCGAGCGCCCCACCGCGCAGCCGGCCGCGCATCAGCTGCCCTGCGACGACGAGCCCCTGTTGTCTGCTAGAGCAAACTGAGCTGGGCTTCTAGGCTGACATGGATATTGTAAGACATGAATGAACAAAATCACCCCGAAATGCTCGAAAGCATCACCGCTACTCAGCATTTCTGACAAGCAGGTCGGCAAACCCGCCTGGGCCCAATCTCACCAAGTGCAGTAAACTCATTTTGCGGTAAACTACCCCAAAACGAATCTCACCACTGCCGTAATTTTTGAAGTTACCGCATCGAAATAACCCCATGGGATAGCTTCGGGTTTACCGCAAATTCTGGACGACGGTGAAAACAGGGCGCCTGGGGCGATTTGATCAAGGTTCGTGAAATTTACACGTGATGTTTGGCATATAGAATGCCCTTGGAGCGGGAGAAGTTCCAAATGTCACGTGACTAATATGCCCTCCGGCGCCCTGTTTTCACCGGCGTCCCAAATTCTTCATGTGCGCAGCTGCTCACGGCCCGAAAGCAAGTAAACAAACCAAACAATCAGCTGATTGCCCCCAAATGTCGGACCAAAATTACCGCAGACATTTGTGCCGTAATCTCTAAATTTTATACCAATTGTGAGCAAGAATCAACAATTAAAGATGTAATAAGAACTTTATAAGAAAGAAAAGAAATAAGTTTCTTTTTTAAGATTATTTTTTGTTGCAGCCTACGCCACCTATGCTTCCTATTTGCAGTACCCCAAACAGCATGTAGATGTCGCCCGTGAGTCTTGGAAACTGAGGTGCCGCTTGGAAAGAAGAAACACGCTATCGTTGCCATGGCAACAAAACAATTGCGTTCTTTATATCGCGCCGGCGTGATCAGCAGCTTTTCCACCAATCCCAATCGTCGACAAATGGGGTTCTTTTGCAGGATTTGCACAAAATGCGGTAAATTACAGCATGGGGTCGTTTGGGTTGGTGAGACTGGATTATTTGCTTGGGGTTATTTCGGTGCGGTAACTTACCGCTACCCCAAACGAGTTTACCGCACTTGGTGAGATTGGGCCCAATCTCACCAAGTGATTGCCAATCTCACCAAGTGACACCCCACCTAATCATTGCCTATCAAACGAAAATTTCTGATTCCCTTCAACGCAGCTTCACTAACCCGGTTTACATAGCATATTTGACGAGGCTCTAGCTCGTTAATTTGGCGATAATTTTGTTGCAGTGGTCTTCAAATATTTAGAGGGGATCATTTTGTAAATTGTTAAGCACCATTGGCATCTTTTGCAACATCACAGACGGAGATATAAGCTTGCAACAAACCCTATGTAAACGCGTCTACTGCTAAATGTTAACCTCAACGCCATCTGGCAGGTAAACCTAAAACCCATCCTTCAATCGGTCACTGTTTCGGCACTGCGGTCTGCCTCTGCGGTTACTGTCGCCCATACCCCATACTCGAGGCTCAGCATATGGATCAATCTCGTAAAGTGCTCCGAAGTGCGGGTGCGGGTAAGTTTCATCCATAGTGCGGGTGCGGGTAAGTGTCATCTATAGTGCGGGTAAGAGTCATCTATCTCTCATAGGGAAGCCCTTTAGAAAAGCATTACGACCATGTGGAAGGTCGAGACGCCTGGTGCTCCTCCGGGCTCCGAGGAGCTGGCTGGCGCGTCTGGGGTTACCACCTCAGGTGGTGAGCTAAGGGAGCCACGGAACCGCTCGCACACATGTTCTCGATTCCCCATGAGTTCCCGGTCTGATGTTTGGGTTCCGTTACTCAGTCACTCGAAATGTAGGCTGTTCATTGTTCAAATTCCCACTTTTTGGCACCAGTAAAGCATCGAACCGCATGACAATCATCGGCCGACCTGGGGACGATGTCACCCACATTGAAGTGGTGTAGCTCTTATCGACCTGTGACCACATTTTGTTCTGCTAGCACATACCGCATGATTTACCAACAACATCGACATCTCTTTGCGATTTATTCATGGCCAAGAAAGCAAATGACTGATATCCCATCCACAAAGTCATAAAATACAGCAACCCTGTTTCGATGACAGAAAGCTGCACTTTCCCCATCCAAGGAAACCAGAAATCTGCAAGGCCGAAATGCGCTCGTAATAAACTGATATACATTTATTCATGAAACCGACAGCTCACATCCACGAAGCGTTCTCTGGACATGTAAATGATGGTTATAACGAACTGTATAAATGAATTACGATAGCCATGACCACGTGACCGGAAGGTCAAACCGCTTACAGATTGCCGTCTCTGTACAGTTAAAATAGCACTATCGAGTCGCTTATTTACAAAACAAACAGACACGCACACGCATGCACACAGTCAGGGACAGGTCGCGGCCACTCATACATCACATGTGCCGTCGGCGGGCGGCCGCGGCTGCCGCTGGGTCCCCGCGCGCTACGCGGCCGCCTCGGACGGCGACGGCCGAGAGATTTTGAACAGTACTTGAGAGAGCACAGAGGCGACGCGCTGGTCGAGAATCTGCGACATGACCAGCGCCAGCAGCTGCGGCTCGCGCGCCACCAGCACCTGCCGGTTGGCGGGCACGCGCGCCAGGCTCAGCAGGACGTTGGCCGCGCGGCCCAGCATGTCCAGGCTGGTGCCCATCAGATCGGGGTTATCGCGCAGCGCGTTCACACCCTGTGTGCTGGCCACGTTCATGGCGTTGTGCTCGGCCGTCTCCACGAAGCGCACCAGCGTCGGCACGAAGTTGCTCTGCATGGCCACCAGGCGCGCCACGCGCTCGTCGGCGGCCGTGAAGTAGTAGAGCAGGTTGAGCGTCATCTCGCGCTTTACCTGGTCCTCGGCGCGGCCGACCCACTGCGCCATCAGCTCGCAGATGCGCTCCAGCCGCGACAGCGGCGGCGTCGCCAGCATCAGGTCGACGTTCTCCGGGTGCACGCAGAGCCGACAGAGCGCCTCCAGCGCCAGACGCTGCGGCGAGGTGAGCAGAGACGGCGAGCCGGCGCACGAGGCGAACGGGTCGGCCGCATACGAGCTGGGACACTGGAGCCAGTGGAGGAGGCCATCCAGCAGCGGTCGCACCACCGCCTCCTCGTGGCCGCCCAGGTGCAGCTGGCCGGACACGTTGCACAGCGTCACCAGCGCGTTCTCATGCAGCAGCGGCAGGTACTCGGACCACCACTCGTCGCTGTTGAGCGCCGTGCACGCCTCCGGGAAGTCGGCATCCTCGTCGCGGTCGTAATTTTTGTGTTTCGCCGCGCGCGCTGGATGTCGGTGATGCAGCTGCAGCAGGTCGCCGAGCAGCAGCAGCAGCGACTCCGTCGCCAGCTCGGCCTCGTTGCCCGGCACGAACGACAGGTTGCGCAAGATGGTGCTGATGGCTATACACCGTTGCGCGATGTTCTCCTGCGTGGTGGACGTCAGGTAGAGTGACGACTCGTCGCGCTGGTAGCACTCGGCTTCCTCATCGTCGGGCCGCTTTCGCTTCAGCGTGCCGTCCGGGTCTCGAATCTCGAGCTGTGGCGGCGGCGCTGACGTCGCCTCTTCTGACTCCGCAGCGGAAGATTTGGACTCCGCCGTCTCCGGCTGCTCGCCGCGCTCGCTCGGGGACGCGTCGCCGTTGACCAGCGGCGGTTTGACGTCGGGCGTCGCGTCCATCGGTTCGGCTTTCACTGCGACCGCGTCGCCACCGTCCCCGTTTTCACACGTCGCGCTCGACGTTTCATCACAGTTCGCCGCCGCGGCTTTGCGTGCCGCTGTTGATTTCGCCTCCTTGCGCAGACGCGACAGGAAAAAGTCTAACGCGGAGAAGCCCGGTATCACCTCGCCGTTCACGAGCGCTGCCTTTGAGTCCTTGGTGTCGGCTTCCGACTTCGAGTCGCCGTCAGCCTCCGCCTTTTCGACTGGCTCAGTTTTGACCACTGGCCGGTCTGGCGTCGACTCCGGTTCCGACTTCTTTGACTCCGAGTTGGCTTCATTCGACTCCGCCTTTTCCGCCGGCTGCGGCGCCGGATCCTCCGCGATCTTGCCGTCGCGCAGTCGACGGATTAGAGGCAGCCGGCCCGTTTCCACCCTGATATGCGTCTCGATGTGACCCCAGGCGCAGTCGGCGCTGAGGACGTCCACCTCCCAGGATCTCCTGCGGTCCGAGACCAGGATGGTGTCGTCACACGGGTCGAAGGTCACGGGCAGGCCGCGCCGGGTGGTGCGGGTGAAGTCGGGTCCGCTGAGCACGGCGGTACGGTCGTCGGGGTCGGCGGCGCCGCACACGCCCAGGTCGGGCTCTTCCTCGGGCGGCAGCGGCGCGCCGGCGACGCCACCCTCGTACCAGCCCACCGAGACGGGCGTGGCGCGCCGCGCGAACATGGCCGCCAGCGTCTGCCGGTAGTGCTCCAGCAGCGCCGCCAGCAGGCCGGGCATGTGCGCCAGGCCCAGCCACGAGACGGACGTGTCGTCAAACGACAGGATCTGCAGCACGTCCAGCGCCCAGCGGCTCTCGGCCAGTTGGCCGGAGCGCAGTGCCATCGTCAGCCGCCAGCCGTCCACGGGACAGACGTCGGCGCGTGTGCCGCGGCGCCGCTTGGCCATCACGGGCAGCGTGGCCTCCACACTGTCCGGCGGGAAGTTGTGCTTCGACATGCTGCCCAGAGCCATCCCCGGCTGTGGGAGAGACAAACGGGCGTCAGAGGTGCAGCGGCGCGAGCAGGCAGACGGCAGCAGTGGGCTTCGTTGGATAATGGACGGGAAATGTAGTATGGAAAGCTGCGTTACCACTATTTCACGACCGGATGAAGATACGTAAAAGTTTGTTTATGAACGTATAATGAATTGCTTAATGCAGAGACAATAGACACATCAACCAGACACGATTACGTTGATCAGCTTTAATTTTGCGTCTGCTGCAATTATTTGTGCTTATTTATCATTTGTATCTATGGCACGGACACTTTGCCCAAATAATGTTAATACACTCGGGTACCGAATATTGATGCAGATGGTTTGATAAGATGAATATAGATGTAATATGTATATCGATTATTGAGGTCAACACCCGACTTGACCCGGCTGCTTGAGAATCAGACATGCACAAGCGTTGCATGCAGGGGGGTCTGCTCCCGTGCTTTTCCGCTATCAAAAACTGGCAATAGGCTGGCTCAAGGCCGTTGGACAGCGGCCGGCGCGCTGATTGGCTGACGGCTGTAAATAGGGCGGAGCTAATATGGTGACGTCACAGATCACTCTGCCCGAAGGCCGATAGTGTTATAGTCAATGGAGGGGAATATTGTGCGCCCGTTTTTTCCTACTTTGAGTGTCACGTAAGGTCTTCTTCTTTATTTTGGTACAATTGAGGTCGTTCTCGTGGCTGCTACACATCAACTTTCCATTCGTTAACGCATTTGTCCGATTTAGAGCGTCTTGAACGTCGAGCTAACACCATGGTGCCGAACGAATAAGGTACCGAATCGCAGTTACCACGAATAGAAAACAAGCCGTATCAATGATCAAACTGATGTTCGTTTCCGGAAGACACAAGCAACTTCTTGCCTATGTGTTGGATTTTTATGTTATTGTCTTAATCTATGTGTTTTCAATGTCGTCCATCTAACCCTCACCGGCCGAAGGGGGAGACGTGTGCCGCCCCCAAACCCATGGGTTTATCGCGATAGTTCGGAACACGCCGGTGATAGAGAGGCAAAACTTGGCCTACCTGGTCTTTCCTTCAAGCCGGATCTTTTGACACCAACTGCATTTTCGGGTCAAGTCAGTTTCGGGTCTATGACGTCATAAGTGAACCTCTGCACGGCCCCACAATGTCGTGACTTCGCAGCGCTCTCACAGTGCACAAGAGCCGAGGAGCTTTCACAGGGAGATGAACTTACAGGACCTAGTATCCATGAGAGGTATCACAGCTTGTATGTCTTGGATTTTTCCTAAGGGTCACCTGAGGTCAAGTCCTCACCATGACGTGACCTCGCCATTATAAGTCGATGGGAAAATATGTATACGATACCTATGTAAATATGGATCATCGCCGGATGGCGCCGGCAATGATCCAGAACTATGTCAAGCACACAGAATCGTGATTTCATGCACACGATCCGATGCTTCACTTTTGTATTGCTGACCTTGTGTGACGTCATTTATGACGTCGATAAGGTCATAAGTTTTTCGTCAATAGCTCCTGATCAAATTGAGCTAGCGTAGCGGAGTACGGAAACCCACCAATGGACTCGGGAACACCTGTCGAATCGAATGATATGCGATATGACCTCCTTCGACCAACTTGGTGACCTGAAGGGCTCTGACATGACCTTCACCCGAAGTCAACATTTTAGGTTGAGCTCGACCGAACAAAATGTATACCATTCGACGTGCCTGAGCCAGGCAAACAAGAGGCCGTCAAAATCGCGGCTCTGTGAACATTTCTGACGAAGTTGTTTGCCAAAAACTGACACTTAGCTTGGGCCACTTGACCGGACCTCAGATGTGACCGGTTAACCTGAGGCCTTGAAATCGGCTACTAATCGCTGCGTAGTGCGTCTCGTAACGGCGCATACGTTTGTCTTCTCCGCGAAAATCTAGCTCAACCAGGGGCGAAACGGCGAGTCTTAACAACTAACCCCTCCCCTCTCGGCCGGGGCGTATGAAGAAAACCAATAGGTCCGGCGAGGTTTGGTTTAAGAACAGGGTTGTATACCAATCAAGTCGATTGAATTGATTGATTTGTTTCAACGCGTATTTTGAGTTGATTGGATTGAGTCGATTGACTTTTCGAGGTGACTGGTTGACTGACTCGTTTGACTTTAGTGACTGGTTGACTGATTTGATTCCCGAAAATTAGAGTGACTCGTATGATTGAGTCGATTGAATGGAAAGTTCAAATAAGTTTTAGTTGACGAAAAATAATGACAATAATTGATGACATCATAGATCACAAAACTACACTGAAAACTGCTTGTCATCACAACTGCAATATGGGGTAGATGGCCAAATAAAGAACAGGGCCTAAACATGAACAGCCAACTTTGACTTTCAACAGCAATAACTGCTCCAATCCAAATCGTGGTGATAGAACCTGGCGATGCACCTACCTACCTGTCTGCACTCAGCAGGAAACGTTTTTTTTTTAATCCAGATGATAAAGTGCAAGGCCCTATATACTAATAAAGTGTGATTAATTAATAATTCACATCTCCACATCTCCTCAGAAACAACCCACTGAACTCTACAAATGTCTGAAACCGTGCTGAAACCCCTACAAAAATAACTGAAACAAAAGCGCCGTTTTTGTCTCGCTAATTATGTTTACGTAACTAATTAATCTAATTTGCTGCATTGTTTAATTTGCAGCAGAACGTTTGTTGATCCTTTTCTCCTGAGAGCCTAAGCATAACATATTTAATATATTTCATTTTCCTTAAAATATTTTACGGAATATTATTAAGTGGTTTTATTTCAAATGAAATAAGAATTAAAACGAAATTGGTGTTGTACAACCGATTTATTTTATGATGATCTACCATACTACATGATAATCAATGACGTCATCTTACCAAAAAATTAAAAGACGTAGAATAAGGATTTATAAAAGCTTAGCCCCATCCCACGTCTCAAATGCACATTGTGTGGAAAGATTTTTCAGGCTGCCGGTCAGTCTCTGTCTAACCGAAACCGTCACATGCAGGTAATATATTTATTTCTATTTCCCTATGGTTACTATGTTATTGATGCATATTATCCATTAAAATAGACATAGTGTAGGGTAAATGGCCAAATCACGAACACTGCCAAACTCCGAGCAGCCAACTTTCAACTGCAATATCTGATATTTAGTGTAAATGGAGTTGGAATATGGCCAAAATTAAATTGACAACTTTTAGGTGAAAGGTGGTGATTTGGGTTAAGGGGCGAGTCAACTACTGGGTTATTTTGCACCCATTAAATGGAACTTCTGCTCCAATTCTACCCATTGAACCTCAATATCATGATCCACCTGTCCATCGCTAGGTATCCTTCCTTATTACCTACATAGAAACTTTGAATGGTATGACAATTTATAATTTTAAATGACAATATTTTTATGTTTCTTCTGTAGGTAGGTAGGTTGGTAGGTACACCAGACTGCTGTGGACACTTTTCCAAGTTGGTGGGGCAAAAAACCTAATGTATGTCTTGGTTTGAGTCGTTTGATTGAGTTGATTGATTCCTTTCATTGTCGCGTTTGAGTCGATTGAATCAATTCCCGAAAACTGCTCTGACTTGATTGATTTGATTGGTTTCCCAAATTTGTCGTGATTGAATTGATTGCTATTGATTGAGTCGTATACAACCCTGTTTAAGAAATACGGCTAGTTAACGATAGGTATTTTAAGTAGCACTGTTTCTTAAGGTGTTTGTATACAAGCGCTGCGCACATAAAAACAAAAAACAAAAATGTTGGCTGGCACGGCCAGGCAACGGCTCTGCATCTGTACTGTACCGCTGCTTCAGGCGCTTTATATATTACAAGTGCTTTATATAGGTATTAGGTGTACATTACACAATATGAAATTTATCATTTCACGATTCAGTACGCATTAGTGAATTACGATGCTATCTAGAATCAGAAACGGTCCAGTTGCGATAAACTTTTGAAATAGCGAAAGAGAAACAGCCACGGATGGGCTATGGCGAATGCATTACCTACTCCAAGAGCAAGATAGAGGAGGTTGGAGCAGGGCCCTCCTTGACTTTTTAGGGGCTAGAGCTGCCACTTGAACAGGGAAGCAATATTGGAGGAGTTTAGATGCGTTAGGAAGTGAGACTGGAACAGACCCATTGTGTCCGGTAGATGGGTGGAAACTTACCTATATCTAAGAGGTAGGTAAGGCGGAACGTTTACAAGTACCGATTGTTATGTTAATTCTAACGGTTCATTTTTCCTCACTGATCTGTCTGGTGAAAATGTGAGCTGCTAGCTGAGCTTAATGACCGGGAGTAAACGCATTTTAGCGTTAGTTGCATTGCAGCCGACGGGCGCAGAGTGATCTGTGACGTCACGAATCAGTAGTTCTCCCGCTGCCCATAGATGACGCTAGTGTGGTCTACGCATCCCGCCCATAGATGGCGCTGATACATGTTGCCACTTCTCGCGGCCGGAGCAGCCTACCTTTCTATAGAGCCTTGGTTGCATGTGCAACTCGAAAAAAAAAATCACGTAAATAGACCTCGCGCCACGCCTCGCGCTGACTCAGGTTAGGGCTCCGCTGGATCATAGGTAGTCAAAAAGGTAATTCAAAGCGCTATACAGGGACCATTCTGCATCCAGGACAAACCGATTAGTCTAGAGTGGGTGCAGCAGCTTATGGTACCTGATTATTTTGCATTATCTCTGTCATTTACAAATTCGTTTTGATTTATGACGTATCAATTTTGTGTTGGTAGCCATAAGCTAAGAGAGACATTGAGCCAGCCAAGTTTTGGCAACGAGCAATCGTCATAAAACACCGTAATGAAACTCGGCATGCTCTCCGGCTATTATCCCAGCAGAATAAGATCCCGTGAATATCCTCCTAAAACATTTGGGCAATTGAACAATATACCCAGAGGCATATTTGCCGGCTCGAAAAGTGTCCAATTTTGGGATGCGGCGGACCGGGCTGTTAAGACATAACGGTCTCTGCACGCAGTTACCCAAAATAACGCCCTCAATAGCGTGCTTACAAGCATTTTACCAGCATCAAACTCATATTACCAGTTAAAGTATCGCCTGTCACGGACATAATATCAAACGATAATACTCCGGCGAGCCCAGGGCGGTCGTGTCCTGTAATATTACCCCTTATGTGTCAAATGGGCCGTTAACATTTCTTTATGACGGGATATTATCAGCAGCAAGCGCAATATACGATACGTCACACGATAAATCCTAACACCGGCGCGTTGGAACGCTCTTATGCAATGCGAGCACATGTTTATTGCCCATCATCTACTGTACGCCGCAGATCCCGGTCTGGTCGAGCTCCGGTTGTCCCTGGCAACAGATTGGCACATCGTGCGCCCCGCCCCGGTGCGCTCTTCAGTCTGCTGACTAGTTTTAGCCCTGGTATCCGGACTCCTAGGGTCGCTCACACCTACCTTGCCGGGAGGATACGGCTTGGAGTCCTTTCCGTACGGCGGTCTCATGGGCATCCTCGGCTGCGCCATGGCGGCGGCCGCCGGTGAGTTGCCGTTCCACTGGGCGGGCGCCGGCGCCGGCGGGTAGCCGGTGCCGGGCGGGCCGGGCGGCTGGCTGCCCGGCGGTGGGTACCGTTGGCCCCACTGACCGGCCACCCCCGGCGCCGGCGGCGGGCCGTACTGGCCGTAAGAGCCGCCCCGCCAGCCGCCTGTCGACAGAGACGTCAGGTCAGACAGGGAACGGTCAGGAGCCTTACTCAGCATGCAAAGGCTAGACGTGGAGGGCCAAGGAACTGATCACTCGATGTTACACAGTAGCACACATTTATGACAGACAAAGAAACAGCCAGTCTGGTAGCATCTAACTGGTAGCCTCAACTATGAGGGGACGTCGACGCAAGAGGCATGTCATATAAAGATTACACACTACTCAGCCACAAAAACTCAAAATACCAGCGAGGAAACGTCATTCTACTGTCGTGAACATTGAGCTGAGCCGCCCTTTCCCTCTCCCTTCAGCATCGCCCTCGTGACGTACCGTACTGCTGGTGCTGGTTGTAGGGCGGCGCGGCGGCCGGGCCGGCGCCGGGCGGAGGCGGCGGCGCGCCGTCCGGTCGCCGCTGACCCGGCTGGCCGGGCGCGCTGGCCATACTCGGCGGCGCACCGGGCCGGTACGCGGGCATACCGGGCGCGGCGCCGTGCTGACCCGAGCCGTACGGCTGTGGGGTGACGGACTCAGGTCAGACGGGTCGAGCTGGGAGAGGGCAGTGTGCGACGGGACGGGTGACGAGCGGGTGCTTCTATCGATGGAGCATATTATCGAGTCGAGCTGTCGAGAGGCATGACACGGGAGAATAAGGAAGTGGCGGGGATAAATATAATGATTATCAGCATAATCGGACAAACTGGCATTCTGGAAAATTACATGAAACGCGAGAGATGGTCTAAACTTCAGGTAGGGCTGGCAAATGTTCACTAGGAAAAATCAGATGTGTTGGAATATGAATGTAAATTTGTATCGGACAGGTATGAGGATCTGGTCGCTGGGCACATACAGCTGATTGATGAGAACGGCCTGGGCGACAGCGACATCAGGCTCAGGAGACTGGTAAGCACAATGATGTCTCATAAACGATATACAAGATGACATACTGGTGATCAAATGTACACAGTGCATCACCATATGTAATTTGTCAAAGTGCCATCGCATCAAACCATTAAAGGTAACTTACACCTCCACCGAGCGTTCCCACGCAAATATATGCTACACCAATTGATCGGAGTGATAAATGCAAACACATCAGCCATATTACAATGAGCAGGAAAGGAGAGGCGAGAAGCCCGCCACCTGAATGTTACGCAGTGATCGCTTGTCAGCTGTACACAAACATGACACAGAATAACCGCCACCTTAGTATAGTTACTACACTTCCCCCTCCAAACCGGGACCGGCGCGCTCTACTCACAATGGGGTGTCTGAGCGGCGGGTGGCCCATAGGGGTCGGCCCGCCGGGCCCCTGGGGCGGTACCAGGGGTGGCGCCGCCAGCTGCTTGGCCAGCGTCGGCGCCGGAGCATAGTCAGGCTTGGACGGCGACATCTAAAACACATGCGCGCGCACGGCGCGGAATAAATAAAAACCCGCCCCCAGCTGAGCCACAGGCCACACCTCGACAAACAGATACACATTGAGACAGAAAGAGATAGAGAACAACCAGCCAAAGCTGAACACATCGAGACTCTTGTTAAGGTCATAACTGAAACACAAACTAGCCGGGTTAACCGTGTTCGTAAGCGACCGATCTACAAGCAGTAAGCATCAGCGATAGAGAGGAGAGCGACAGAGGAAACAAATATGAGTAAGCGACGAGTGAGGCGGCGGTACGTACTTGCGTCATGGGGCTGCTGCGGGGGTTGAGGGGAGCGGAAAGCTGCTTGGCTAGATGCGAGCTGAAGTTAACGCCAGACGCCATCTACAAACGAGCAGACACACGGCTATAGATCGGCTGCGGTTGAGCGCGGCAAACGCACATATGGGCCGCTCAGCGCTCAGCTCAGCGGTAGCTCAGTATCAGCGGGCGGGGTCAGCACACCGACCAGCCCCAGTCAGCAGTCAGCACTAGGGTAAGAGCCGAGCGAGGCAAGCTACAGGTCGAGTCAACGCCAGACGGACGGCACACTGACAAACTGAACCATGCGCTAGTCTAACGCCGGCCGACGGTCGCTGTCGGCAGGCCGGCCAGTCATACGCACACAGGAAGAAAGACACTTGAACGTGCGGGCGGGGCAAACCAAACCGGGTCGGTCAGTTCCCTACCGACTACTCAGTGAAGTTCAGAGCGGAATCAGACCGGGTCGGTTGGTCTCCCTACAGCTACTCAGCTAGGTAAGGGAGGGTGGGGTTCGGAGCGGTACGTACCGGGTACTGGGAGGCCGTGCTGGCCGGGTACGGCTCCCCGCCGGGACCGGTCGCCGGCGTCGGGCCAGGACCGGAGCCGGGCGGCGCGCTGGCCGGCGGGGCCGAGCCGACCGGCGGCGGCGGCGGCGGCGGCGGTCCGGTGGGCCCGGCGCTGCTGTACACGGGCGGAGGGGTGGCCGCCGGGCTGCCCACAGAGGCGGGCGGCGGCGCCGGCTGGTGGCCCGGGTACATGTGGCGCGGCCCGTAGGTGGCCGGGCCCGGCGGCGGGCCGGTCTGGTACCGGTGGTGCTCGCCGCCCGGCTGCTGGCCCGCAGAGGTCGGCGGCTGCGGGTAGCTCCTGTGGTCACACAGAACACACCCGGTCAGCCACCAGTCACAGCATCCCTCCAGTCAGTCATCACAGAGGTGAACGACCTATCAGCTGTTCTTACTACCGAGCCGGTATGCAGCCACGAGTTAAACGTCACTGACACACGACCATTAACCTCAATCCAATTTATAACAACCCACTTGCATCGTGTTTAATTCATCATAAACCGCCATCGCCTCACTCATTCCCTGTTTAACAGCCTAATTACCACCAAATAAACTTTCCACCGAACCAGGTTCATTTGCATCAAAGGCCTTCTGGCACGCTGTCGGTCAGTGTACAGCCGTGCCGCCCACACACCTGTTGGGGTACTGCATGTAGGGCGGCTGCTGGGGCGGCCCGGGCGGCTGCTGCTGGGGCGGCGGCGGCGGCCCGGCCCCCGGAGGTCCCGGTGGCGGCGGCGGGTACTCCTGACCTGGCGCGCCGCTGGTCGGCGGGTAGTGACCGTAACCCGGCTGCGGTGGGTAGCCGTGGCCCGGGTAGCCTGAAACACGGAGGGGTCACGTTAGGTGTGATAGGGAAAGAGGGTGGGAGGCCGTAGCGGTCAGAAGGCGCCTCGGCTTCAGAAGAGAGTACAGTGCGAGCGCACTGATGTAACAAATCGCAAAGCCGAGATGGAATGTCAAATATTGTGGATGGCAATCAAGAACAAGCCAGCAGCTTCAAATCGAAGTAAAAACTTCTGGAAAAATAAAAACGGAGGAAAATGGTCGAGCCAGCTGCCACAAACGAAAAAAAAAACAACGATGGAAAAGATAGCTAAATTCCCTCCAAATGCTTCTGGAATAGCGCAATCCTCAAAATGCAAGCATGCTCGAAAAGGTAAATGGAAACATCATAGAAACATTTCAGCATTCAAAGATCAACAAAGACAGTCCGTCAACTGCACACCGGACAACACAAAGAACATCTAAAAGTTGTAAGGACTCAGGCATCGTACACACAACAGAACTTTGACAAGGTTTTCAACCCCAGCTGCGGCGTCTAATCAACTGCACCAAGACGCAGATCCAGCAAACACATACAATGACAAACAATAGCGAACTTCAGCTGCAGGGCAGTCAAAGCAGATGAATGAAGTGCCATGCAGCCTGCGCTTGATTGCATTGAAGAGAAGACGCACTAAAATGCCCACGTAGACAGAATAACAGGACAATTTAGTTTCTGGCTAAACATCCACTCTTACTGGCTGAGCTGACTGATAAACATCCACGTTTACAACAAGTTACAGCAATCTCACTCCAAATACGTACACAACGAGCTGAAAATGCTACAAACACCGAAACACAATCACAATTACGGGCCAGAATACAGGCGACCATGCCAGATCAGCTACGCCGAGGTCAGGTTGAGGGTCAGGTCGAGGGACTAGCTCAGCCGCGCGGGTCCGCTTACTGTTGTAACCAGCCGGGTAGCCAGAGCCGTACGCACTATCGTAGTGACCATCCTCGAACGGGTTCGACACACTGACCCGGTCGGAGGCACCTAGCGGCCAGAGCAGGGGCGCGCGTCAGCCACGGCAGCGCTCCCGACGGGCCGCAGTCCAGTGCGGTGTGGTATCCCACCCTCAGGAGACGGGACAAGCCCAGCAACCGAATTCCAAAGAGATAAACCAAAAATGAACAGAATCCAATCTGAAATCATCAGCAACCTGAGTAAAACCAACAAGCTTTCTTGTCTCAACGCTCTAGGCCGTCAGACCCACCAGTCCTCTAAGCCCGTCTGTCAAACACACAATGTTGTAATAACAGCAGACCCAGCGCACGCCTCTATAATTCTCACCTTGTGGTGGCGGCTGGCCGGAAGGACCGTTACTGTAGTCGCCGCCGCCCGGGTAGCCAGGGTAGCCAGACGGGAAGCCGTCCATCGAGCCAGAGTTAGAAAATGAGTCCTGGGGACCTGGCGGAGGAAGAGATGGACGGTCAGGGGACGGCCTGAGAGGATAATCGGTCATTACAAGCAATGGCACTGTGAGATTTGCAGGTGACGAACGATTGCTTCAATCTACCGGACATGCAGACGAATATCATGTCAAAGCAGCTCGGTCAACTAACTGGAGATCTACAATGAAAAACAAAATTGTACACGAAATCAACCCCTTACTCGAAATACTCTTCACCCAGGAGAGCATAAGCTTAGACCAGTCTCAGGTAGCACAGAAAACATCAGCTTAGACCCTCCACTCACCGGGCGAGGCGGCGCCCTTCTTCTTGTTGCTCTTGGTCTCGTACTTGGCGAGGATAGGCGCCGGGTCGAGCCCGCCGCGGTCGAAGTGGCACTCGAAGAAGATGAGGTTCTTCATGTAGTGTTTCCGCAGCGTGTAGGCGCCGCTGGAGCTGCCTCCGATTCCCATCAGCACAGCGATCTCCTTCCACGTCTTGTTCTTGGTCACCTGATAACGGCGCGGCGGGGTGAGTCAGTCGGCAAAGAGCAGCAGGGCGACTTCCAGAGACGCAAGGGAGACTTGTGGAGCAATGAGGGACAGACGTGGGACAGAGAGCTATGACAATGAGCAAGGGAGTGGGCGACACCACCACGCTGTAGTAGTAGTGTCACTACAGCGACTGCAGGATCTCAACCTAACCAGCTAGATAGCGAATCGTTCACGATACAGCACAGATGGACGGCTGGACGGCCGAGGCTTCTTTCATACTCGAGGGAAGGTATGCAATTTGCGAGGCTGTGTCGGACGACGCCCGAAATGAATGTCTATTGACGTTACCGTCGAAGACATTATTGAAATACCGCCAGAGACCCGGCTAATTGGACCGCCCTCCAACTGGTCAAGCTCGGTACATCAAAGCACGACTGGCTAATTGTTATCGGTTCCCGTCGCGATCATACAGACCTCGCGACACATCAGCCTCCATCCACCCACGTCAGACACGTCGCCGGAAGGCATCCCCACATCACAGCATCATCGGTAAGCGTCCACTTACCTCGACGAACCCGCCGCGCTCTTTGGTGAACTGATAGAGCTTGAACAGGTCGAGCGGCTGTTTGGAGACGGTCGGGCACTGCAGGATGGGCGAGCCACGCTCCTCCATGAAGGCCAGCAAGCGGCTGACCCACTCGCGCCGGCCGGGCGCGTCGTCAATCTCAAACAGACGGTTCAGGCTCTCTGCCTTCTGCTGGCGCACGGAGCGGGAGTTCTGTGTTAAGAGCAAAACGCCCCGGCGCACACGGTCAGTAGGGGCCGGCGCGGGTCGGTACGGGTGGGAGCGACATCATGCCTACGACTGACAAACCACACGGAAATATATTGAGCGCTGAACAGAAATATTCAGTGCGACACCTGAAAGCAAACAAAATTTCCAGTTTTATTGACAAGGAAAAGAATAGATGATCATGCATTGTAATGACGTAACAGAGATGACTTTTTAAGACTTGAACGTGCTCGAAAGAGATTAACAGAAGGCCTTCCCTAAATAGCAAGACAACGAGAAGTGCAATCACCACATGGGACCAAGTTACCGTTACGATTATAAACAATGAGCACCCACACAAGACGATACACAGCACCAGAAGAAGCAGGTTCAGCAGTGATTTACACATGATGAACAAAATCGGTGATCACTGAAGCACAGCATAAATATACCAATACTCGATCGCCGAGCGGTTTATACAAGGTACCGTGCCGTTCCCTGTGCAAATCCGGGAATGTTCTCATAAATACCAACACCTCCAGGCAACACGGAGTAAACCAAGGGATTTTCTAGAATATGTAACAAAAAATCTCCGTAATGTGATGACTGGCGCAACAGCTAAATGCATGCTGAATGTGAGTCCCATATAATTGGCACCATTTCATGTATCGACCGATTTAACGTGCGTGCTCTCATGCAGCCAATTGACCTCTATTGCAAATTCATGGATATAAAATTATAAGTTATAGGTGAATATATTCCGCGATAAATAAAGGCCTAAAATCGTATTGGGTGAAAGAAGATGAAACAAAGAAAACAAGTGGCGAATATCGGTGAGAAGTGAAAACTTAACAGTCGCAAAAAGATTCAGACTAATTAGGTCGCAATTATCGTGAACTCAGGTTAGCAAACTAAAGCTCGATGAATAATGAAATTGAGATACAATCGCACATCGCAAATAAAATATAAATCGCTACCACATACCCATTACAATTCAGGACACCAAAAGCACAAAGTGAGAAAATACATCCGCTTTCTGCGCAGAACTGAAAGACGCCCACCGTCTACCCAGTCCCAGCCAAACCATCACCGAAGCAACATACAGACAAGAAGGCGAAAATATCCAGAATTGTGCAGCCAACCACCACCGATTGATAAGTGAATACATGGAGCGATAGAGAGTGAGATAGCGACAGGCTAAGAATAATAGAATACTATGGACCTTGGATACTGGGTAAGCATCTCTTGAAGGCATTGGGTTATAGACCTGCAGAAGAAAATGTCATCCAGTTAGTTCGGTGTACGAATGAGCCTGTGTTGAAAAAGAATGGGGTGATCCGCATTTCCATCTGTACCCCATGTCACCCAATTGTATCAAACCAAACCATTAGATTCAATCTACCGAAATCGTCACAATTCTTCCAAATCAGTCACTCAAAGACGTTCAGACCGAAAAGGATGGAAATATTCCTTGAAAACCCTCCAACCAGTCCTCTAGCCACATGCTCCGCTACGCATCCCAAGTAAGAATCCCGTCAAATAAGTACCATCTAATCCAAAGTAAATAGACCAGCACCACCAGTAAATGTCTGTTGTTCACCAGGTTTAGGAATCGTCTACAAAGTTCCCACGTACAAAAATACACTGTCCCTCCACGACACCGACGTCATGATCATACGTTTCAGTACGAGACCCTCCCGGATCTCATACTACCTGACCTACAGCCCCCTCCACCTCCCCTCCGCTGAGTGCCCCCGTCGCCTCAGCTCACCGAGACGGGCGAGCGCGGCCAGGCCGGCCCGCCGGGACTAGCCACGTTGTTCTCCGCCTCATCGTGCGCCGACGTCATGCTGGCGGCGCCCGGTGAGGCCATGCCCGAGATGGGCGTCGGCGGGTGACTGCTGCCGGCGTTCTCCTTGACACGCGGCTTCGGCGAGCGGGCGCGGTCCTCAGAATCTGAGGGGTGGAGGGAGGGAGTCAGTAGACGTCAACAACAGGTCACATGGGTGACGGTAGTTTGGGTCTGCCGGCAGTCATGGCACACAGAAGAATCTCGCAAGATAAATCATAACTGCAGATTGCTTAGCTTGAAAATGACAAAAGAACTAGGCACACGATGATAACAAGAGAAGTAAGTGTGAACGTCCACCTGCAATAAGACTCAGGCCAGGGACAAAACAGAATACCTCGATCGGCGAGTAATTTCGCTGGCAGGTACAAATGTAATCGCCATGGACGAGTAATTCGCTAGCTCGGGAGACAGCAGCGGCAGCCCGTGCCTAAGCCTGGCGGACGTCTATTGGGACAGAAATCCAATCGAGGCGGCCGTCCGACAACCGACAGGCAATCCTGTATCACCCCTCCCCCTGGGTTCCCTCAGTACTAGTACAGCCGAGCCCGTGGTCAGGCGCTCTGTCAATGACCTGGTAACAGCGCTGCCTACTAGACACGTCGTCCTACACATGCTCTCCCCCATGAGCTAGTGAGACGACTCTACCGACCCTGTCGCGCTCGGCGCTACTCACTGGCCGAGGTGTTTGAGAGCGTGCTGTGCTGCGACGCATCGTCGATGGGCACGCCGTCGGGTCCGATGGGCGGCAGCGGGCCGTGGTTGTTGTACGGTCCGGAGAGCTCGGGTGGACCGCCGGACGCCGGCTGGGAGTGCTGCGAGCCGTCGCTGCACTGAGAGGCCGGCCGGGGCGGCGGCGCCAGCGGCGGAGGACCGCTCGAAGGAGGCGGCATTGACGAGGCCTGGCTGGCGGCGGCCGCGGCGGGCGGCGGTCCGGCGCTCGGTCCGTTGGGCCCGCTGCTCGGCCCGTTGGCGCCGTACGCCATCTTCTGCTGCAGGTGGTGGCGCAGGTAGTGCGGCGCCGGCGGCGCGGAGCCCGGCGGACCGCCGCCGCCCGGCATGTGCAGCGGTTTGCCGCCGGGACCGGGTCGCGGGTGGCCGCCGGTTGCCCAGTGCTGTCGACACGGGTCAGCTGGTCAGAACACAGAGAGCAGGAACGAGCACAGCGGGCACACACGGCTAGGTAGCGAAACAGGTCACGTAGCAAGCAGCCAGCACACGCGTCAGCAAACTGTAATAGCTGGTAGGCACGTGCCGACTGACCACGCACTGGGTCACGTTCAGCTGGCTCAAAACAAACCATTCACTACCGCCTCTCAAAGAACACCCGAGACAAACACCTGAGCGGGTAAAAACAGTGCCGGGACCTGCCACGGCTGGCGGCAGCCTTCGTTAACAATGCAAAGGTCGCGATGCCGGCGGTGCGTGTCACCCACCTGCTGCGGGTACTGCCCCTGGTAGGGGTAGTGTCCGGGCGGGCCGGGCGGCGGCTGGCCAGGCGCGCCCGGCCGCCCGTACTGGCCGTACATGACGTGGCTGTTGTACTGGGCCGGGTAGCCGCCCGGCTGGCCGTACTGAGGGTGCGGCACCGGGTAGCCGGGCTTGTGGCCGAGGCCGGGCGGCGCGGCGGCGGCGGCGGCGGCGCCCGGCGGGGGTCCCGCCTGGGGCGGGTACGCGTGCGGCGAGTGCGCCAGCCGCTGACCGCCGGCCGACTCCTGAGAGCTGGGCGGCCGCGGCGGCATCGGAATGTTCTGCTGACCTGAAACACAGACACACAGTAGGTCAGGCCAGGTCACAATCGAGTGGCACCGAACGCAAACACAAGCACATCACCATCAGCAGCAACCCGGTCCAACGGTCCCCCTGACCCGGCCGCGACACATGTGGTCGACACATCCGTCGTTCACCGCCAGTCATGCACATGTCATCAGCCGGCTGTCTGTCACCCTGACCTGGGTCAACCCTGGGGACTGCACCTCGCCACGCCACATCAACACAGACTCCGTGACCTGGGACAACCTCCCTCCCTCCCTTCCCTCCCCTCTGTGAGTCACCAGCGCGCGCTATCGTCTGCACGTGTCACCCATCGTTTCACGAGCCGCGTGCTTCGTCTCAGCCGGCACCCCGTTCCGATCAGCTGTGCAGAGCAAACCTCACACAACACCCCTCCCTCCCTCCCTCTCCCCCACTCAACACAGACGCCGGCCCGGGAGGGGATGGGGAGGGGGCGGGGAGGCCCATTGATCCGGGACTGGCGCCGGTACATCACACAAGGTCCAAATACTACTCATCCGTAGTAAACACCGAGCGACCGACGCCGCCCCACTCGCCAGTCGACACGCCAATCAAAACACTCAACACCGCGAGCACTGCTGCAATATTACCGCCCGGTCGAAGCACAGTGGACTCAGAGACAGATATAGGACAGTGGATAAAGTGGACGGGGGGTGGACTGAAAACATGGGAACGGTGGAAGGAAGAGTGTGGACAAAGAGACAGTGGACAAAGGACGGTGGATAGGAAAGATGGATAGTGGACACGAACAGAGGACAGAGGACAATAGCCAGGGACAAAGGACTGTGGGCGCCCGACATGTGATCGGACCACTACCAGGCACCATGAGTCCATGAGTCACTACCTCGTGCGCGCTCCTCGTGTGGAAGACGGCAGTGAGGCCCGCCAAACGACCCCACAGGCCGCGGGGCCACTGGAGCCGCACAGTCCACTGGCACCGCGTTGCGTCATCAACTCATAATTGAGCCAGTAAAGTGTAGCCGCTTCCGGAAAATACTTGGCAGGATTCTCGGAAACACTTCCCGTGCTGCGAGCATTCAGCACCGCTTCATACTCGCCCTTCACTACACAACAGACGGCTCGCTTCCGCTGTCAGACGCCCACACACCCCTCCCCACTACGACGAGGGGGGAGGGGCGGGGACGGATGTGGAGACCAAAGACACAGGACGGGGACGCTGGCACCATTGAGCGACCTTTCTCGCCCATTTCACCGACGACCACTCGCCTCTGTTCGATCAGCTGACGGTGTCTCGGAGACAAACAGACGGTGTCCGTCGCGGCGGCGGAGGCGATCGGTTTCCGTCCGGCAGCGGTCCTGTCACGCCACTTGGCACGAGGCCAGCCCGATCCATTACACACCAGCTCGGTGCGGCCACGGCCGGCCACGGCCAAGGTCGCTCCGGCAACAGACGGCACGTCGCTCTCATTGACAGGCACCGGACGTCGCCGGGGGGTCGCCGAGCCGACTGACGGGCGGACGGCGCGGGCGGATGGGCACTCGGCCGGACAACTCTATAGTCAGTTCGGCTCGGACGTTCATGTTCCGAGTTCGGGCACCACGTTCAAACCCAATTCCACTTCATGACGAAGCCATCACCTATGCAGATGTTCTTCCGTCACGAGCTCGTTTGAACCTCTCTGTCTGCCCTTGTAGCGTGGCGGCGCACCTGTCTGGCGCCCGCCGCCCGCCACACGCCCGGCCAGGCCACCGGAAGCAGCGCCAGCCGTGCGCCGCTGCGGGCGAGGGGAGGCCGCCGGCGTCCGCCCGACTCTGCCCCGGCCAGTTCCCACCAACACGGACACGACGCCCGGCCACGCCGCAACAGCGCACGCCCACACGTCACGTGCCACCGCGAGAACCGTCACGAATAAAATCACGTGCCGGCGGGAGAAACGTCACGAAAAAAAAACCCACAGACTGACGCCACGAACACAGTAACCCGTCTGGCTGAGTGTCGAACCCACAATCAACGATGTCATCTGCACTGTATCTGTAATTCAATGAGTTGCACCTGTGGCACGTATAAGGTAACCAGTAACCACCCCAACTCCTCTCATGGCGCGTCAGGTGCAGTATCGGATCGCTCACGTGGGGGCCATTACCGGACAATGGCATGCACGAAACATTGTAACAGGTCATGGCACCACGGAAAACACGGCGATCAGACAGCAAAACATACACTTATGGTAAACATGACGCAATCGATCCACAATGAATGGAGCCACACGGAAATGGGTCGCGGCTCCTACTACGTCATATAGATGCCATCAATAGAGGCGGCATATAGCAGATATCCTACAGCTGCAGGCTCGTGCTCGTTGAATATAAAACGTGTGCAGACTATTTACGGTCCCATACACTGTTGGCCAAAACGATGAAGATGCGATAACGGGCAATAAGGGAAAAGAATGCAGCATATGTTGATTAAGCACCTCGTGAGGGAATGCCGTTACGACATCCAAAATGGGAATGGCATAACGAGCCCCGAAATGACTGAGAACCAGCACAGAAAATCCACTAAGCTTGAATGGCGTGGAGCACGAAAATGATACAGTGTATGTATGAACAAATATTCCAGCAGTTCGCTGAACGAAAGGCAACAGAATCCCACAATGAGCCATACAAGTTGAGGTTCACTGTCAGGAATGGAGGACAAATCGCTTGACAAAGCGAGAGTGGAGGCTGGACTACATATTTCATCTCTACGTAATGAACCATCCCAATTCCCAACTAACTTCTACATCGTAGGACTCACAATCCCAATGCACCGTATGGAATCCCTCTCTGGTATCCAGACAGTTGCCACGGTGATACAGTGTCGATGACCGGTGTGACGGACGCTATCAAGCTCGACGGAAAAAGCTCGAACGTGATGAGAAATGCCAACGTTTCGAGCGGCATGAATCCGTTCGTGACTAAGCAGCGGTCTACGCCACCCTACCGGCCGTTTGAGCTCTACACGCGGGGTTTCACTTAAAGGGACCCTCCCACCTTCAAAAAAGTTAATGAATTGGCATAAAAGTGATGTAGCGTGAATCACAAAGAGCGAAAATGAACATCTACCAAATTTTACCGGAAAATATTCACCCGTTTTCGAGATATAAGACTTTTATTTTTGTTTACTTTTTGGGAACTCCGCTGTTTCTATGACGTCACATAAAGGTTTTCTTTACGTCGGCATTTGGAAGCAATAGTTTGGTATCAAAATGCGACAAATATTGCGCGAATGATGCGTTTATCTTATCAAGGTCAATATATGATGACCAATAGAAGATTCCAGGACAATTTTTCTTATGGCATTTCTTCGTATCGCAATTCATCGTCTGCAAATCTTCGTCAGGGCATTTATTCGTATCGCATTACTTTGTCTCGCATCAGGGTATATGAAAATCGGCTCGCATTTCTTCTTCAACGCAAATATATGCAAGAGTAAGCATTGAGGGACAAATAAATGCACCGACGAAGATTTGTAGACGAAGAAATGCGGACGAAAAATTGTGCTACGAAGAAATGTCATGCGAGGATTCGTTCGGGTACCATGACATTTATGTGATTTCAAAGTCAAGGTTCACAGCTGATCTGCTAAATCAAGCCAAGAATCCAAACTATCAAAAAACTATAAATATTTGTTTGTCTGTCACAGAGGTCTCAAGCAATATAAGGTTGACATATGTTGAATCAAAAATCTACTGCCACAGCTCACATCTCCTGCCTTAGTTTATCATTGTTGTTTTAACTTGCTTTCAAGAGAAACAGAAGCCAGTATCTGATATCACTTCAGATGATTGTTTCAAGATCTGAGTTCAAATGGAAATAAAAGCAAGATCAAGATGAAATAGGGATTATTGCTGTTAAAGTAGTTTGGCCATGATACAACAAGCACATAAATCATTAGCCAAATCAAAAACTGGTTGGTTTGTCAAGATGTTTGTTGTCTGTCGTCTGTCGAGCTGCTATGAACACTGAACGCTCTCACTCTTACTTTAAAGAGAGCAGTTTAAGTTGAATGGTAGTGAGCTGTAATTAGACAAAGCAGCTATTCAGTGCTCACATCAAGCCAGGCTAGGATATGGCAACTGTGGTGGGAGGAAGCAGGTTCGGCAGCCCTATGTTGTAAACTTCTGTTGTGTCTTGTGTTTGATCAACTGATGTTTTCTGCAGTGATAGTAGCAGGTAACTGCATGCTTGTCAAATTATGTGAATAAACGAATTCATAACATTGCATTTTTCTCTTCATGCAAGGAACAAGTAAGATGTTGTAGAAAATGTATTAGAGGGCTGCATTGCTGATTTTGCACTTTATCAGAGCTTTATTTAGAATTGCTTTCCTGAAAGCTACACACAGGCCACAGCACTGAAATTCACAATGTCATAGCTTTTGGCAGAAAAAAGACTTACCTAGGTAAAATTGGCTGAAAGTATGGCAGAGCAGGTCTTGATGCGTATGCCCATCCGTGTGCTTGCCGAAGCCAAACTGACTGCAACACATTAACTCTGACCCACCATGGTGGCTGGCATATCCTGAACTTTCACCACTCTAAACAAGACAACTTTCAGCCCTCAGCATTGTATTAAAATAAAACACTGTACATGACACTCAAAATTTGTTTCAGTGCCATCCACAGACAACATCAGTCGCCATTCACCAGGCCAGTAAAAACAGAATAGATAATAGCTTCAAACCCATGTAGTCAGAGTTACTAGGTCTGCACCTCAAAACAAAATCCAGGTGACATTCACCATGCCAGTAAAAAAACAGGTACTTAGGTAACGTAACAGCTTCAAATCTGGTAACATGTTGGTCGGACTTTACACTACCATATTTACATGGAATAATATGATACCAAACAATAGTGCAACCATTCTGGACAACAAAAGTGTATGATAAAATTAATTTAGAATACTTTGGCAGCATGATTTACGAGCACAGGCAGATGTTACCTACCAGCCTTCTCAATGCTCGTAAAACCAACATTGTAGTTTTGATTTTACCTTACATGATAACACACTTGGCTGCAATGGCACATTTAATTTAATACTGTGAAAAGACCAGTTATAACCACTTCACAAGCACAATTGCACTTCATGCCGACATCCTTTTCCAAAGACAGTCAGCAGCGTCTTTCGTCAAAACTGGAAGATCAATCCCCTTTCAACTGTTAACATCAAAAATATTTCTTCATGGTGTGATCTCCATATGAAAGCCTTGCAGGAAAAGAATTAATGTCAATTGTCAGCTCTTCAAATTTCTTTGGACTTTAACTTGCAGTACCATATCCAGTTTGCTTTGATATTTTGTTTTTTATTCCATGTTAAAGTTCAACACCAAGCTCCAGATATAGCAGGCAGCTTGATCATCTTCGGCCTTGGTATAATATATATGGCCTTGGGTATAATATCAGTCCAAGTTCCAGTGGTGGGTATCTTCTAATATTCAAATTAAAATGAAAAGCAACAGGCTTTCTCAGCGCCCACGGTCATAGAATACTATCAGCGCCGACGACGGATTTCACGTTGATAAAGAAGGGAGCTCAAGGTTAGCAAAACTCGGGTTCAAGGAATGGCGGGCGTTGAAATGACTGCTGACGTCATCAAAAAACCGCTAATGGTTAAGAGATAGGGACTAAGCTGGTCCCACCCTGCAAGTAAAGGGAAGAAATTTCTTGAACACCATAAAGCTGCGGGGTTTGCGACCAGGATAAATGGTGGTTTCTGAGCCTGGCCGCAAACTTGGCTATCTCAACTCAAAACTAATGTTAAGGTGGGATGGTCCCTTTAAAACGAGCCCATGTTCCGAAATATTGTTATTGGAATAGAGGATAGCTATATGTAAAATCAGCACATGAGCTCATGGATCTTGACCAGCCCTGAAATCATTCAGGTAGTTCAGGAAGCTAACTCTGAACTCAATCAGACCCTTCCCCGACTCACCCACACCTTCTACTCCCCCCTCAAGACTCGTCCATACCTCCCGACTCTGGACTCAATCGGGCCCATCCCGACCAACTCAGGACTTATTCAGACCCTCTCCTCTCATGACTCAAGACAACTCAGTGCCGCGATTCGATATTCATACAGATTACAGACCCTCTCCGATTCTGTGACTGGACTCAATCACAACCTTCCACTTCGGACGACTCAGGCGACTCGGGACTCACCTACAGCCGGTGACATGGAGCGCGAGCCTGCCGAGCTGGTGGGGGACGGCGGCGGCCGTGGCCCCTGGCTCCCGGCGCCCGGCGCGCAGTCGCTACCCGCAGAGTCGCCGACGCCCACCTCCTGAAACACAAGAGGCGACTAGGTCAGACACTGGCATAGCGGGCACTGTGGTAGTGAGACAATAGGGTGGATACGGCAGTGGGGTACTACGGTGAAATCTGGGGACGCCACTCGAGAACAGACAGCAGTGAGCCGATGAAACAGAGCAGACGCCTGGGTCAAAGAGACGCACGCCGGTAGGGAGGCCATGGAACGGAGAAGGCAGCGGGATACTTCAATGGAGACAAGAGATGCCGTCCTGGAAAATACAGCAGCGAACCAAATGAGACAGAACAGAGGTCCCTGGTCAGATACACACAAGCCCATCGGGCACCGGTACTGAGGCAAGGAGACAAAGGGTAGGGAAACGGCTGCGAGATTCTATAACGGAGACACGAGACACGGTCCCAGAACAGACCGCGGTAGCCGGAGCGCCGGGCCGACCTCACCACGTCCGACGGAGCTCTCAGAGGCCGACCATCATCGCTCGCCACTGGACACAACCGGACCAGTACCGGCCGAGCCCCGTTGACCCTGAGCTGCCCACCCGGCGCAGCATCCATCACACACGTCTGTATGCGTGTCTGCGGGCAGGCCACCGGACCGGACCGGACCGGACTCTGAGAGGGTCGAGAGGTGATCGAGTGGTGACTGGACTTTCCCCGTGTCCGGTCACTGGGCGGTCGAGCCGCGTCTTGTCCCAGGTCAGTTCGACAGGAAGTGTGGCGGCGCCGCACGTCTCCCGACCTTGGCTGAGCGAGCCGGAAAGGCAGTCAAGGCAGCGCGGCCCTCCCCGCTGCTCCGTTAACGACACGGCACGACACACGGTTGAGTCTTGTTCAGAGCTCTATCAGCTGCAGGTTGGGATGCCACTACCACCCACCCCGTCCCATCCATCTCCCGGCGGGAGGGAGAGAGGGTAATAATGTTATCCCCATCAGAGCCGAGCCTCTCCCAGCGGCACGGTCTGACCGCCACTGGGTCACCGGTGACACGACCCGCGCGCCGACCTTCGTGCAGCCTCACTGCGGCGTGACGGCGCACATCAACAGCGGGCGGATCGGGAGCAGACGGCAGGGCAGCGCTAACGGTGGCTGTAATCCGGTAATCACCTCCCCTCTCCGGTCCCCACTCCCGTATGGCCCGCGCCGCGCGCTAACCATGTCCGCATTATTCACACAAATGGGCCCGTTACTGCTGAACTGGCCGTAACACCATCACGGAATGTCGGCACAGCACGTGACCTGCCCTATCAGCCCGGGAACAGCTGGGCAGCGATGACATAACTGATAGGCTGCATCGTCTGCGGTCCGCGGCAGCACAAACACACACAAACACACACGGCGGAGCGGAGCCAATGCCAACAGCCACCCCTCCCCTCCCCTCCCCTCCCCAGCCTGGATAGCGGGACCAGAATGGATCAGCTGATTGGGAAAAACAAGCAAACCCTGAAGGTGAGGGCCATCGAAGCCCCCAGCTCCCTCCCATCCCCGTCAGACCTGCAAACAGGTGCGGAAATCACGGGGGCGAGGAGGGATAACGTATCGGTCTAAACAATGATCAATGAGCTTCGTCGAACAGTCGCAGTGGCTACTACGCTACCGCTTAGGCAGCACCTATGCATCAAGGAAGGTGTCATCACATCCCGTAATCACAGGAGAATTATAGCTGCATTTTAGGCGAATACAAGCGGCTTAGCTTCTAAATAGCTGTGCAGCCTATGGGCAGCATGCCAGCGAATGCGAATGAAAATATTGTGCTATTTACCAACACTTCGTAGAACTTAGTACACCTTCTACCACAACAAACGTTTTTGTAGGAAAATGTGTTTGATTGAATGACAAAAATCGCAATCAGCGTGGCGGACGGGACGACCGCGTCCATTGCCTGTAACAATTTCCATGCAGCTGAAGATGTCTGTTTTTGTATTCAATGGCTGCGCAATAGGTGCTAAAAGTCTCCTTTTCATCAATAGCCCCACCCTTCGTAGTACCCTTAGTACCCCCTTCAAGTAGCCTTGCATTGCAACATGAACCAGACACTCTGAAGACAGGCACGATAAATGCATAAACTATCACATTTGCCGCAGATGATCTGTTACGCGAAGTAAAAACTAAGTCTTCCGGAACAGCGCAGCAGACGATACAAAGAAGTTCAACAGCGTCACTCTCTAATGTCATGCTCTCTCCCACCGAATCCCGTTACCACTATCTGCCGACCGGAAAGGTCAGGCGATCGTCCTCAGCTCAGAGAGGACTGCACCAACACGCCGGCTAAATTTAGCCGTTCCGTGGTAGGGTAGGTCCACAATAGTGGCACACATGACACGGTCCAATTTCAGCCGGCCGGGTGGCCATTGGAGCGAAATGTCCCAACTTACCGAGATTAGTTGGCGCCGGTACGGCTGCCGCCACCGTACTGGTGACTTCTCGAAAGGCATCAAACACGGACAGCTCACGGACAGGGCGTCAGACGCTGGCGGTACTGGGTACCAGCGATACGGCGTACTCTTACACTCACAGAGTACTGACCAGTTACAACGTGGTAGGGCACCATACATTTATATGAGCCATATAAGAAAATTATGTAGGTACCACATTATGATTCCGCATTAGGATAAGAACTATCGGCAAGCGTAACTACCATTACAACGGCATGATGCATACGTCGGTCACTTCGAGATATCCCTGATGAGTAACAACGTGCCAAAGCAAAAGGGACACTGATGCAGCACACCACATTTTTGTACAAGACGGTACACCTTATTGAGAACCGAGGGGGTATGGTGTGACGCAAAGGTGCAATACCTGAGCCTAAGTCGGAAACAGCGTACCGAAACGCCCCACCGCGGCAATCTGCATCTCCCGTATCGTAGACACACACAGCACCCTGGCACCGCAGATGTAAGCCCGCAAGCCGTACCGATACTGAATGAAGTGTACACCATGCAGATGTTCTGAGGCGGTACACCACCGTACCGATTACCGCAGCAGAAATCAGAATAGTGTGCCCCTATATCGCGGCCGGTACGCCGCGACCAACCAACGAGCAGGCGGACTCGGTGCGGGCGACATGGCGTCGGGCGCCGTATGCTTCAATACTGAACAAAGTAGCGTCTAGGAGAGCTGTCATAGCACCCACTGGGTATGTTCTGAACACACCTACGTGTCGAGAACACCTCTTTTTGGGCCGGGTAGTCCAAAATTCCGTCCGGCCGCCGGCCAGGGAGCGCCGGCGAGCGGCGGCCGACCGGCGCGCGGCGCCGCCGGCCGGGCGGCCATTTTCCCTCGACGTGGCTGACGGCGTATGTGCGCCGCCCCGGTCGGCGGCGCGGCTACGGCCCGACCGGCTACGGCGCACGGCCCTCCTCGGCGTGGGCCGTGTAGGGGAGGAATCATCAGTCAATCACCCACACACCCCACATCCCAGCTCAATGGTCACACCTCCTCCCGGTGTCGTCAAATCGCGGACATCGTCTCCCCAATTTACGAGCTGTCGAGCCCCGGTTAGTCAGCCGGCGCTACGGTCCCGTTCACGCCCACAAAACCACGTGGCTACGCCGGCAGTGTTTACTACCTTTATTGCTGCTCTCATTGTCGTCACACGGGGAAGGATATAATCAATCTTCTCAGTTACACACGGACTAAAAAATATTTTAAACGTGGATTAAAATTTATCAGATGGGATACATTTTTGGTATGGTTGTGATCAGCACCTTCTCAAGTGTCGACTCATCAAAGAAATAATTGCCCTAGGTCATCAGGTGACCGTGAAATCTCACTCGCTATCTTTAAAACCCAGCCAACGCGTGAATAACGCTCCACCAAGTGAGCCGTCGCCGGCCGACGCGACGAACCCCCGTATGCCTTCCCCAGTTTGGAAGTCATGCAAAAACGACCGCTTTTCTTGATGGACCCATTCAACGTCAGCTGATCAGGCAGCGTATTTGTGAAATGCCGAGTCACGTGCGAATGTTGATGCACGCCGCCCCTCCACAGATGAAAAGACACCGGGAAAAGGATTGCCGATGACGTCATCGGTCTGATAATCAGGGCTCGGGGAATTTCCTTCCCTCGAGCCGAGAACACGTGTTTAGCATCTGATGGCATCGCCGGTGGGCGGTGACACAGTGAGTAAACAAACCCGAGCAGTTGCAGGGCGGGGGCGCGGAACGGAAAGGACACGTACCCACATCTGTCAGACGATGTCGAGCACTGACAATGAACCGGGTGATCTGGTACGATTAATTGTGTATCAGAATTCAGAAGGTAGGAAATAGGCTGAATATACACAGAGCAAAACATACAAAGGTGGGTTTCAGAACAAGAACATATGGTACCCGTAGGCAGCCCTCTATCTTCAACCTTCAACATCAATATGGGGAGAACGGTACGTACCACCATACACCGGTCGAATCGGACGAAACTGTGGACTTCTGGAGCGTCAGCCGGGTTGTTCCTGAGCAAAGCGTGGAGCACAAGTCTGTTCTACCCTCGCAGGGCACGAAAATCCGTCGGCACAGAGCGAAAAGCACAGACGCCGGCGCCAGAACGGCGCCAGTATCGAGCCACAGCACAGGCCGGCACGGCACAGCGGCGGCAGCGGCGGCGGCCGGCCGCGCGGCCCGGCCGTACAGTCTCCGACACATAGCGGCCGCCCCGTACAGCCTCGAACATAGCGACCGGCCGGCCGACGCAACGCCCACCAGCGGGACCCAAAATTGTGTATAATTCATATTTGCTTTTACCATAATTTGCCTTCAGGCGCAATAAGGAACTTCAAACGGCACCAGGCCGATTGTCCTAGTTAAAGGAGCACTCGAATGTTACAAAAGGGCAAAAAGAATCAGAGTTCCCTGATCCCTCACAAGTCAAAAGTATGGTACTTTTATGACGACGGCAGCACATCTCAAAATAAAGGGCAATTCAGGGGATCAGTAGATTTCGAAGTGCGAAGCAATGGAAGTGAGACCACGCTTTGGATAAACGTCTTCAGCACTGTGGTACACGGGGCTATTACGG